TTAGCTTGATTTGGCTTGCTTGCTTGGCTTGGCTCGGCTTGGGCTAGCTTGGCTTGGTTTTGCTTGGGTTATGCAGAAACAGCAGACGCAGAATACAATGTAGTATTGATGGCTCACAGCTGATTCTCGGGCTAGGGAAATCACATCGCATGTTCTTACCAGTGAGAGTGTGGGGTGTTGCCACTATCCTTGCTCTGAGTCACGACTGACACTTGGATGGCGTCCGTCCGTGGAAACCGATTCAGTGCTCCTGGGAGGGTCAAGGCCAGAGCTGGGCATCTCAAAGGCCCGCTTTGGTGTTGCCGTTCCGAATTTGTAGTTGTCATTCACAAAAGAGAAGTCCACAAGTTGTATTCTACATGTATTCAGCTAGGCAAGCGGTGCATCAATGACAGGGACCAGTTGGAGGATACCGGCTGAGGACTGGTGTTTGAGTGTGTACCTGGCCACCTGGTGACAACCCCGAACAGGAAGCACATGCACATTTCACTGACTGGCGGACGGGAGCAGAGATGGTTATAGAGCTGGGAAAGGCCATGAAATCGAAACAACTTAACAAGGGTGGTTACCCTCTGCCACATAGAACATGTGTATCAAAAACCATTTCGTTGCACGTTTAATGCTTCCCTGGTTACGTGCTATGAACCGTTGAACAACAGTTCTCTGTTCTGTGTGTTTTTGTTTTGTTTGCTCTCTTACATTAGCCATTTGAGGCAGCCCTTCGAGCAGGTGAGTTCTACTATGCGTAACGTGATGGTACTGCATGTACAGGGCAGGTTGATGCCAATCTTCTGTTTCCACACAGCCGCCGGTAGCGCTGTTGCACGGGCTTGTCTTTTAGCAGAAATGCTTTGTGTATGCATCGAATGCTTATGTCTCCTTGGGATGATGGTATGCGATGAGCTGGGTCTGTGTGTTGTGCTCTTTGTGTTGCAGACATCCATGCGTTAGTTCAGCACCTGGGAAAGATGTCTGCAGACAAACCTAGTTACTACGCCGGGGCTGCGTTTGAGGTGTCTGATGAACCATTCCTACCTACCTACAGTCTGGCTGTCATGCCCGGCAGTTCACAGTAAGTCTCCATCACTGCTTGATTCGTGGCCAGCAGCATCCGGAGTCTTAACCGCAGGGGGGATTTTTGAGTTTTTTTAGGCGTTTCAAAGTAAAGCTAACGCACCAGAAGGTACGGTAGTTTTGAAACAAGTCACACCAACTTTGTGTCATCAAAGTAGGGTCAAGGCACGTTTAAAAAAAACTTTTTTCTACAGAAGAAGTGCCTGTGTTGCCACACCTGCCGACATGTCAGTAGCCTGCCGATTTTTGAGGCCTGTCACGACCTGCCGACAATTGACCGTCTCCTGCCGACAACAGCCGTGAAAGTGTCCAAAATTGACCTTTGTGCTTGGTTTAGAAGTCATGGTCCAGAATTTTGGCTTTTACTGCTCATTACGAGTGTTTCCATAGCTCTCTCCTACAATGCAAACATCAGCTGTCTGGGGGAAATCGGCAAACTCAGCCTGAGTCGTGTGCACTGTAGAATCCCGCTGGTGGGTTTGTACAACGAAGCTTGGCGATGTTCGAACTTGGCCTAGGCTTATGCGCGGGTGGGTTTATTCGCTGGATTCTACGGTATATTAGGGTTACTATGAGGGGGGGGGGGGGGGGGGTCCGGGGGCAAAGCCCCTGGATGATGCATTTTTTTAAATCTACTGATATTTGGCTATAATGATGTGGCAACACTGTGACAGCTGTTTTCTCTGTTCTAAGTCGTTCTCTGACATGCCATTCCGAATCCGTCGAAAATCCTTCCTGGACAGGGTGTCACACGAACTCCTTAATCCTTGGACTTTTGCTGACTTGGCTCCTAGACTAACAGGTGTTTGGAAAAATATATTCATTCGCGTCATCGAGCATTTTTTCAGCCCTATTAATTTTTTTGTCCCTGCATCAGCTTTCCTTTTTTATTCTCGCGATGGCCTGTGGGGATAAGAGAATGTCATTGTCGTCGTCATCGTTGTTGTTGTTGTTGTTGTTGTTGTTGTTGTTGTTGTTGTGTTTGAACTTATGTCATTTGTCATCAGTAGTTGGTGTAAATGTTACATATGTCAATAATTCACTTCTTCACCTACCACACGTTCTTTGCCAACCAACACGCCCGTCTATCAACTCTTGAAAATTCTCTCATTTTTCAACAAAGGACCACCAATGAATTTCATACTGATACTACCTCCCGATAGCTGTTTCGACCATCGCAGGTCAGTTGTCGGGATGAAGTATCAGTATCGAATTCCTCCGTGGTCTTGTGAGAGTTTGTGAGAGTTGGGTTGGTCGGCTTAGAGTGTGCATTGAACGAGGAGTGGTTGATTTATTTATTTATTTATCAAGGCTGAACCAACCTACTGCTCAACTTGTGCAGCTGCACGTGTACACTGAGCTAGTGAGCTGTGCTAAGATCTCGGCCGTGTTGCTGCTGCGTGCTGCGTTGCCTGTCTACGCTTGCTCCAGGCGATACAACTACGTCCTTGTCGAGGATGTTTTGGAGACGCTCAATTTCGAAGCCTCGGACTTCTTGACGACCTTTCCGTCCATCCAGGAGTTGAACATAACCATGGCGTCGTTCTGTCGCCTTGCCGAGGGCTCGTTGTTCAATCCATGCGAGCCGCTGGACCGGGTGACAGATAGCCAACGTGCACCGGATGAAGAAATCAGCCTGTTCCTGTGGAACGACGATATACGCACAGTGCTTGGTATCCCTCTGGTTCTACTGTAAACTACTCGTCTTGTTGTTGTTGTTGTTGTTGTTGTTGTTGTTGTTGTTGTTGTTGTTGTTGTTGTTGTTGTTGTTGTTGTTGTTGTCATTGTTGTGGTGGTACTAGCTCCTTTCGTCGCCGTTTGCCATTTCATTTCCTTTTTTATTCATCCTGCATTTTATTGTGATTTAGTTGAAGATCTGACTGCACCCAGAGAGAGAGAGACAGTGTAAAAAATCCCAATGGTGCCCAGACTGTTTTAGATGTTCAAAGGCAAACGCGCCTACGCACATCGCTTGGTCAAACATGATTTATATTTCAAAGTGGTGCTGATTTTGAGTTGGGCATAGTGGAGGCTAACTTAGATCTTCTCTCCATGCCGATGCTCTCCCACTTGATGCTCCTGATATCGTCCTATTGTGAACAAGCTCAATTCTCTGCTACCCTAGGTCCGATCCGCTTCAAAGTTCATTTTTTATTTGCTTTATTACGCCATTGCTGCAGCAACGATAAGACAGCTGCAGCTGCATGAGCACCGTATCCACAGACTAGCACTAGCACATGTGTACACATCTATCCGTATATTGCACACCTGTTCTGATCCACTGGAGAACCTCTCTGAACAGTTATTTTTCCCTTTACAGGAGGAGCGTTTTGATAATAGCATTGTACGTGGAACTCTGTAACCATCCCTATAATATTATTATTCATTGTAGCGATTTAACACCTTTGTATGCATTTCCCAATCCTCTGTGTCCTTCCTACTCCTTGGAGTGGTCTTTTATTGACAGTGCTTTGCGCAACCTTTCCGCATCGTTCGTATTCATAATTCCTTTGTATAACTTTGGACGAATTTGAGATGTTTGGTCTACATGTTTGACTGCAGTGGTGTTGGTGTCCAGTGTATGAGGAGTGAGAAATGCATTCTGAAGTTCTGATTCAAATTGGGATTTCCGCCACTTAGCCCGCTCAGGTTTTGCTCTGCAAACATGGTCATAGAGGTGCAAAGAGATGAGTACTGTCTTGGCAGGTCTTTGACCATGATGATGACAAGCCTCCGCCAATCTGTCCTTGCGTCGCCTGCCATGTTGCACTGGCACTCCGTGCTGAGAAACAGCCAGGTATGGTGATCTCCGTCCCGCGGCTTTGATCGATTTGTAGACATGGCAGCTTCTTTGTCCACACGGGCGCCGCCAAGCGATGGGAATGCGAGTCACATGGGTTGTCGCTGATGCCCAGCATATGGAAGGAATATTTACTTCCAGCTGTAGCACAGTGGAGCATTTCAAAACAAAGACAGCGCGCCCTTACTTCGGAGACAGTGCAATTTGTTCAATGCCATGGCATAGGATGGATATAAACAAAGCTGACACTGTCATCCTCGACATGAACGCCAAAATCAATGGAATCTGTGTAGGGAATAAGAAACACATTATCCTCATTATCCTCATCATGACCAGATAGTGACCAGGTACTTGAAAGTGCATAATAACTGTGTAGATGTGCAGCAAGATCATCATAATCGCCACCTAGTCTCCGCCAGTAGTCCTGTGCTGATAGAGTTCAAGAAGCGCTGATAGTGCTGCAGTGCACCACCACCAGTAACAATTGCAAGTTGTTTTTCTGTCAGCGGACCCTCGTGTAGAAGGATCGGCAGTGAGGCATGCTATGTGAGCTCTGGGGTACGATACGATCACGTAGTAACTCCATTAACGATCGCTTCAACGATGTAAAGTGTTATAATTATGTTTTGCTGATTCTGGATGTCAAAACCAGCAAACGACTATTATCGTACTGGAATTACTAAGCACGTCTGCACTTTTGCAGATAACGGACAAATAATTCGTTTTAAAATCTATTCCCTCAATTCGTAATGTACAGCTGTACTGACATTCAACTTCCTGACGTTTAGCTCCATTACGTCTCGAATGCGCACGCCAACAGCCTTCCAACTTCCAAGGTTCTAAGTTCTAAGCGGTCCTTCATCTTTCGTCATCTTCTTGTCACGGCTAATATTCTTAGTTCGCTGCGATGTTTAGCTTGTTTTCGTCTTGATTGCGCTCACCTTTCCCTTTCTCAAGTTATTTCATAACTTAGAACCTTCCAAGTTGGAAGGCTGTTGGTGTGCGCATTGGAGACGTAATGGAGGTAAAAGTCAGGCCGTTGAATGTCAGTACAACAACAGTCATTATTGTGCTAACTGTGGCACGTAATGGAGCTATTAACGACTCATCAATATCAAGCTTATAATTGCCAGTGTTGGACAACTACAGGTAACTTGTCAACCTTTGGTCTTTTCTTCTTAGTTTTAATCCTTGGCTCTCCACCCGAGTTTCATTTACCGAAGTGTTCACTAATAAAGGTGGCCTTACAGAATCTGCACTGTGAAAGGTGACGTATACATCTGGTAAGTGTGGAAGCTCAACCATAACATCAGCGGCCCTCAGTGCTCATAGGGACTTTTGATAATGTTGGTGAAGGCATCCGCCAACCTGTGCTGGCTGCTCAATCTTTGTCGAGGCTAAACAAAGAGAGCACTCCACACCGTGCACAAGAAGAAAGTGCTGACCAATACCACTTGACAAGCAGTGTCATCGCACAGCGTGCGAATGACAGATTTGCACAGTCACTGAAAACAGTGCCGTGCTGTCAAACTGTCAATCTCAGACACGGGTCATCAGTCCAGGTCATTTACATTGTACATGTACTGGCATAGCTTGCATGACAAGCTGAATGCATGAGTCATGCTACGTGGTGCGAGCATCCACATGTATGCAGAGGTGAAAATACACACCCGCCCACACTTTCTTGTGGTGTACCGGTATATGATGTGGGAAATATCAAACATGTATCTAAGCAATTTACTACCAACTGTCTACAATTGCACACTCACATGCACACACACACTCACATCATCATCAACAGCAGCAGCATGTTGTGTACTTGCTTGCTTGGAACATGATCTTGTCTCATCTTCTCTCCATAGTGACTCCCTGTTGCTGTGCTTCATCTCCCACTGCTGAAGTAGCCACATGACACATACACAGAATACAATAAATTACAGAATGTCAGCATGAGCACTGCTTACAAATGTTGGTGTCTGCGCGCGCGCGCGCATGTGTGTGTGTGTGTGTGTGTGTGTGTGTGTGTGTGTGTGTGTGTGTGTGTGTGTGTGTGTTCCCTCTGGGGACGGTTTGTAATCTCCGAGCTCCCTCTGGTTGTTGAAAGTAGTTAGTTTCCCGAGTCTTCTGGGGTGGCTCTGGTCCACCAGGGTCGTCCCAGGACATGTAATTCTCAGCGCAAGAGATTCAGGGCCAGCGCAACAAGAAGACGGGGTGTCAAACGATGGCACCATTTTTTTTGCTTTTTTGCGCCTGAATCTTCCACTCGCGGCGGATTGGCAACCCCCCGAATGGACAGGGAACATCAGCGCTTCAAAAAATTGCCCAAGCACAGAGAGAGAGGAGACGCTGCCTGATTCGCGTCGGATCCTGGAATGTTCGTTCTCTCGTTGAGAGCGAGGGGGGGGCAAGTGTGTGTGTGTGCGCGCGCGGCCGGGCGTGTACGGGCGTGTGAATGGATACATGCGCACTGAGAAAGCCCTCAGTCTAAAACATAAGCACCCGCACTGAATAACTTGTACACACGTGTGAAATGTGTTATGATATTCGTCAGAGCTCCACCTAACTAGTACATAGTACACTCGGACGTCTCTTATCCGGGCACCTTGGGACCGGTCACTGCCCGTATCTCAGATTTGCCCGTATCTCAGGATAACTCATCTACCATGTCTCATATCATTTTTGAAGAAGTTTATTTGGAATGTATTGCTCATGTTCAGGATACAAAAGGAACCCATTGATAAAAATGTGTGGATTACATAGGTTGGCAGTGAAAAATAAGCACTTTCTCATACGGAAAAAAGTTCAAAACCCCCAAATTCGAAGCATTTGTGCTATAGGAACTCAAGCTGAAGGTGCCCGGTAGAGAGACGTGCCCGTATCTGAGGCGTCCGGATAAGAGGCGTTTGAGTGTACTAGTATGCTCATTCCATCCACAATTTACAACCAACACGTGATGTAGACTCTGTGATACATGATGACATCATGAGGCATAAGCCCCAGTAGGTGCTAATGTCATCATAACAGTCATCTTGACATGATTGCGAGCCTAATGACATCACCATGTCACCTCTGCCAGCACATGACGGCATAGGCTAGCTGGTACAGATTTGGGTTGCCTGTACCTTGGGCCAATCAGTATGGCGATGCACAGTGGCAACCTGGTGATGATGATGTTGAAGATTGGATTAGATTTGGGGCATGCCGTAATGAATGCTGACTGCACACGGTCTTACCTAGCACAAGCCAGGGAAGGAGAAGAAGGCAGGTGAGTATTGTCATTAGAACTTATCTCGCCATAGGACCAAATCCAGATTCATTATACATTTATGGTGCAAAACACTCACTCCCCAGTCTCCACTACAACCATGGCTTACAATGATGTCATCATTACTGATACTACTAATAAACTACAGTGGTGGCGCAAATTATAATCATACCCACATGCCACATCCCAAAACGATCAGCTACATCATGCACTGTACTAACCATGCAGCTTAGGGTGAAAAATACCCTGGGCCACGGAATCTAAACTCGATCCCTATCAGCACTGATCACACATGTACGTGCACTGGACTGACCAAGCCTGCACTACCAGTAGTAAGGCACTGGTGCATCAATCAATCAATCCAGAACCCATTGCAGTTCTTACGTTCTAGCTGACCAGGTTTGTGCTTGTGCGTGAAAAGGCACCATCCGCGCACTATGCCGCTTTTAAAACTGGACTGTTTCCACTCTGTTGTAGTGTTATCAGCACATCAAACCTACTCCTCCTCAGTGTACTCAGTGCATGTACTAGTAGCCACGGATGTCTGCACCGTCTGAGGTACTTTGCACAATTTGGGTCAAGGTTGACACCATCCCTATTAGTATTCCAATCAATGTGATTCCCAGATTGTTGTAGTGATCAGTGAAGTCACGGACTGCCACGGTGACCAAATGGACAGACCATTGGTCATTGGATCCCACGGCCCACACAACCCACACTCCGTATCACCACAGTATGTTTCAGACGCTACCACATCCACCTATCTGGACTGGGTTCAACTCAGTACCTCGAAGCCATTGCAGCCATCCGGAACGTGAATCGCGTGAACCCAAAGTCCAACACTGTCACACCTAGATTAATAGTCGACACAACAGTCAGACCAGTATGAAAACAGCGCTGATGAACTGGCCTAGCCTCATTTTGTGACTGAAATCCCGCGAGGCAGTTTTTCAACCCATCGTAAGTCAAAACAGACACGCACACAACACTTACATGATGTACCAATGGGCTTGCCATCCATTCTTTTGTACGTTAGTATTGCTATTCCGCTGAATTAAATGGTCCTGGAATTCCCTGTCACCTCTGCTCGAAGTGTCTGTGGCTGGTCAATGTTCAACGCTAGGTACAGGTGCCATGTAACAAACTGTCCCCTGTCCTAATTCCTCGACACAGCGGTATACCGCATTGCTTACTTTTACAAAGTCTCTTTGTTGGTGCGACAGTTGTACGGCTGGCTCTTCGTCGAGCGACGCTTGGCTGTCGTGGGCTCGAGAAGTGCAGCGTCATCGAGTGGTACGAACCATGGAACGACGGTGTCGCACAAGTCACGACACGGATCACGCATAATCACATGGCTATGATCGCGTTGAATGTTATTTCCTGGGTACGAGGCCGAGGACTTTCTGAGTGCCCTCTGTGTGCAGTGTTCCTCAGTCTGTATGGACACGGTGGAGATGTGCAAGAGTGGAGTGGTTGGGCACCTCGGGCAAGGCATACACCCGGTTAGGTCTGCAAAATCGCCGATATCGCCGACAGTTGGCATAGGTTGTGTTGCTCAACCCGTGATCATTCCCCATAGTAGGTCATACTGTCATAGCGCCGAATGATAGATGCATGCGTGCACTGATGACACAGTTCCACACTTCCAGATCTAGAATGGCAGCTGGAAGGGCCGATACTGGGATCAGGTGACACAGACATGGACCAAAACATTCACAATGGCGACGCATAGTGTCAAGCAGCCCATAGCCTAGCCTAGCAGTAACAATACAATGAAGAATCATACACGTGTATGGATGTACATACCAAGCCCTTGCTTTGCTCAGTCTACTCCCTTTCCGAGTTTTCCGCAGCCCGAGGATAGGCCTGGAACTGTGCATGCATTTCCCTGCAGCATGTCTGTGCAGCCAGCTGCTCCGCATTGCGATTCCTGGGTCTGCAGTCCCAGACGCTGGGCTTGTCAAGCCAGGTGCGACGTGGCGCCTTGGCGGTCACTGGCGATGTCAGGCCAAGCATCTGCGTCACTGGGGCACTGGCATCCTTATACTAGCACGGGATAGTGCAGTGACTGGATGTACCATCACTGCATCATCAGCACTACAACTGATCCGTACTGCGGCAGTGTAGTCCAACTCCTTAGACACTGTGTATAGTGTGCAGGGCATGGTTGATTGTTACCTATAAGCTATACTGACCAGTATGTACTGCGCTGACTGCATGGCGTACCATACACGGAGTGATTCGACGACGGCAGCGACGGGACAGCTCAGTTTGTTGACGTAGGTGTAATGGCAAGTAGAGGCTCACGTGGTAGGTTTGCTGCGCCCTACGAAGGCCCACCCTACACCGTACTCTGCCCCCTACTGGTTCATTGGGATTTGCACAATCGCTTCAAAGTCTGCTGCAACCGAAACGGAACTTCAGTTAGTAGTTCCAGCAGCTTGCAGCAAGGTCTTGAATCCAGTCATCACCGGTATGAAATCAGAAATGCCTTCCGAAGAAGTAACTTGGTCTCACGTCGACCATCGGTTCCCGGAAGAGGTACAATGGGTCGAGTCTTCTATCAACCTCTTGTCTGCGGACAGCTCCAGTGCTTCAATGAGCTCGAGTTCCGATAGCTCTCAAGCGTCACCCCGAGAGCAGCACAAGGCAGCGACATTGGAAAGTCTGCCTGGACCGAGAGACCACGGTAACGCGTCACTACGAGCGAAGAGAACATCCCTGCGTCGCCTCCCGCCGCTCATATCCAGTGCGTCTGGTCTTCGGCGAACAGTCAGTGCAAGTGAAGACCTGTGCTGTTCCAGCCCACAACCCGATTCAAATGGAACTAAGCTTGGCCAACCAGCAGCGCGCCTGCTTTCCAAGAGCACATATGACCTGGATCAACGTTTGAATGTGCTCAGTATCTGCATGCAAACACCTAAGTCTCAGCTACCACTGGATATCGAGCCAGAATCCCCGACAACGACTAGCACGTTTGCAGGCGATATCTCTGGTGAGGATATGAAACCTAGCAGGCGCTCGTCGTGTCCACCGAAGTCTACAGATGGCCTAGCTACACCCTGCAGCCTTACCCGTGGGATTGGCACCAAAGGGTTTCAACGACACAGCATCGGCGCGTGCCAGCGCAAACAGAGACGGTCCCTGAACCCCTCCGTATCACCAGACTCGCCACGCGACTTAGCATCTCGCCTCCCACCAATCATCACCACCGATGCATCCGGCAAGGTTCGGAGCAGCCGCAGAAAGTCTCTCTCGACTTCGTCCAGCCCACTCAGCTCACCAAACACGTCACCCAATTCCTCACCAAGCCTAGAGGTGAGGCGCGTCGAGGCGCGAATGCTCCGCCAGAGTTCTAGTCCCCTTATGTCGCCGCTAGCCTCACCCGTTCAAGAGGAGCCTCCCAGCTCCGACAGCTTCAGTCTATCTCCGGCTGCTGTTCGTTCTCGCCTTGCTAGCCCTGCCAGCACACACCTGTGTGTCCCGGCCCTGAAGGACTCCAGCGTGGCCGGTAATCGCAGTGTATCGTGCCCGTCCTCGCCTAACATGCCCGTCGCAGCGGCCAGTAGCCAGAATCAGTCAAGTAGTAGTAACACCACACACTGCCTGAAACACACCCGCAGTAGCAAACTGACAAGCATCAGCCGCAGATCGCTGGACAACTAACTATTACTTTCTCGCTGTGACGTCAACAATCAGCTCCCGCCTTCAGGGAGGCACGTAGGCATCCTTCAAGACAATTTCAAATCTTACTTCGCTACCGAACTATACAACTGTCATCAGCCGGGGCCTCACCAGCCCCAACAGATGGCATAGCTCAATTGGCAATCACAGATTTAGCATATTATTTCCGTTATTAGAGATGTCCTATGTTCACTATCATCCCACACCAGTGCTTAACAGACTCTCTCCTGAATTATCATATCGCTTTTATCCAGCCATATCGTTCAGCAATTATGCTCAATTTCTGCCGTTCATTTGGCTCTAACTAACTTATCAGCCACAACGTGATTGAAAACGATTTCCAAATAGCCACGAACTCACTACGTTGACGTGTGCGGGTGTGCCTTGCGCGGTGGGACATCATGTAGAGCGTTCAGTGTGCATGCGCGTGAGTTAATATTCTGCTTCAAAAGCGTATACACAAAGGCCTTGTCCGTGTTGGGTGATGCAGACCAGACACAGACCCATTACAAGCCAGATGGCAAGAAGACAAGCTGTGGTCTCGGCCTAGCCGCAGCACACGCCTTTTCAAAGTTCTTGCATGCAGTGGTATGGCCGCAATGAGGCAGAGGTGACCTATATGAGTCTGTTTGTTTCGAAGCACTGAAGTGCAGTGTATCCTTCTGGGCATTTAGTCTGCCTTTTACCCAACCCGGAACACACCCGCTGCGGATTGCCAGCACGCGTTTAACATTATTTCCAGGTGTGTGTTACATTGTATGTCCGGAGACACATGCAATTGCTTGTGTCTGCTGCTGCATGTATGTACCTTCAATGGGCTTTCCTTACCAGCTACTACTTCGAAGTACCTCTCTCTCTCTCTCTCTCTCTCTCTCTCTCTCTCTCTCTCTCTCTCTCTCTCTCTCTCTCTCTCTCTCTCTCTCTCTCTCTCTCTCTCTCTCTCTCTCTCTCTCTCTCTCTCTCTCTCTCTCTCTCTCTCTCTCTCTCTCTCTCTCTCTCTCTCTCTCTCTCTCTCTCTCTCTCTCTCTCTCTCTCCTTCTCTTTCTCTCAATTGTAATGGAGAGTAGTAACTCGGGATAATCGACCCAGTGGACATGTACGTACGCACACATTCCCGGGCTATGTGCATGACATTTGTGTCAACACAGTCGCGGTCAATTCTAGAAATGTCTCCCAGGATAAAGGGCAAAATCCGTTACTAGTTTTTTTTCGAATTCGTGGAACATGTCACTGAAGCAAGGCAGGGATAAATTGTATTGAAGGCTAACTACTAGAGGCTAACTATGTAGTTTGGTACATTCACTATCTGGTACATGAATCCTCTGACTGCTGAGCCCGACAGTAGGCGACAGGTCTGTCGAAAACATCTTGCGCTGTGTGCGGCAAGCGCGAGGATTTGGAAGTCTCCTGATCACTGAGTCGAATAATGATCCATTTCGCATCACGTGGTTTAGCAGTAGGCGTCAGAGCAGGCCTAACGGCTATACAACATGCCAGTACGATAATTACTAGGCAGTCAATGTCTCTAGCTCTACCTCGCTATCCACGTCGTGTATCCTCGCAGTCACACACCGGATTGTGTTATCTCTTGTACTGCTACATACAGTACAGAGCTAGCCGGTAGCACCGTGCAGTAGCACAGTGCAGTGGACACTGACGTATTAAACGACCATTGCCTACGTCACACAGCATGGCAGGGCGCCACAGTCCCAGAATCAATACTCCCTTTGTATTGTACTTGTAGTGTTGTACAGTATTGATGTAGTGCAAGGGGATGGGTGGGTGGATAGGGGTAAACAGGATGTAGTGCAAGGGGATGGGTGGGTGGATAGGGGTAAACAGGATATGTACTACATTGTAGAGAATACAGCGCTGCTGCCACACACACAGCACAGGACCACACACGCACAGAAAACAGGATTTTACAGTGCACTGCATTTGGGAGACATTGCATGGTTCCCGAGCGTCATGCATCGTCAAGATATCTGGAGCAAAGCCATCTACGCTCGAACACTTGCGACATTATCGGGGCCAGGATCCTCGGGGTTGGGAAAAGTCTCTTCCTTGCCTGTTCGAGCTAAAGACAACAGACGGGTTGTGATGCTTACAACATTGCAAGATGAATAATTCATCTAATTATTAGTGATGTTGTGTACATAACGCGATTGTGAATGGCTCTGCTCGTGCAACAAAATACCATCATCACATTGCTGCAGCTGCTGGCGCCTATCGTTACAGGCCACGAAGCAGTAAACACAAGCACAGTTTGCAGTTCACAGTGTACGTCTCCGTTGCATGGTTCATCCTGAACCCCAATACTACGTCACTGATTACTACGTCACTGATTACTACGTCACTGATTCTTGCAATTGCCTACGAGCACATGTACTATAGTATTGCGGCCGAAGGTCCAGATTGGTCTAGAAGACTAGAACCATCAATTCGCTCCCACGCTGGAAGTCTTATTATTCTAGTCTGCTGACTATTGTACCCTTTTTACGTCAAACACAACATACCTATGAGATGAGTTATGAAGGAAAACGAAGCAGGGACAATGAGTGCTAGGGGCACCGCAAGGTGGCTTATTGATTCAGTATAATGTTAGAAGCATCAGTGTTTTATTGCAGGCGCCTGTGTGAATACGTTTCAGTTTCCAGTGTCTGCTTACGTGTGCTGTGATGCAGTCAAGTGCAAGGTTCAGTCTGCCACTGACACTGCCAGTTTGCCAAACAACAACATCCGTTGGCCGTCGTCCACCAAGCGAAGGGAACGAACGCCCACTAGTTGGTCGGGCGATGCTGGCCAAAGGAGGCAGTTAGCAAATACAATGTATGCCAGTTTGGACAAAACTCAAACGATGGTATTCTGAATTTCTGATGGAAGAATAAGGGCCGAGAGGTTTCTATGTCACCTGATTCAAACTATCAAACGTCATCTCGACAACTGTCGCATTACTGTAGATCAAGGAGATAATGTCAAGGCATGTACTGTCATTTTCGTCAAAAGACCCGCACTGACCTCGAACCCGACCACTAAGCTACATGCTCGATCAAGTGCATAGCCATAGATCCGGGAGGGAGTGTTGGATCTACCATGATCTACCATGATCTACACCATGATGTATCGTGCACATCTGCCATGGACCTTGCTGCAGCATTTCGCTTCCACCTCTCGCGAGACCGATCTTGCTAGGCTTTATGCAGAGAATGCGAGTTTATAGTAGATCTACCGGTACATGCATAGTATACCGTTGATCACACTGGGTTACACTGGGTACGATATTACATTCTAACATTACCCGGTAGTAGTAGAAGTCACAAACACAGGTCAAAATAAGGCTGAACAGAAAGGTCCTGTCTCAATGCCCAAGGGCAGAGCTACTTACAAGAAGAGGAGGACGATTTGCGTCGTAACTGCGAGTTTCACGCGGACATCAGACAACTGTTGCCTGATGTTCGCCTCGTGCGACTCGCAGTTACAACGCAAATATCCTCCTCTTCTTGTTGTTGCAGATCAACGTAACAGTATAAAATGTACCTGCGCACGCCGCAGCGAAATCTCAATATGCACGAGCATTTAATTTGATGAAGTAACGTTACGAGAAGGTGGACATGTTCTGTCTGCTGATTGTACTGAATCACGTTCTATGTCTACGCCCTAATTCTAATGCAGCAAACATGAACTGTGCGGCATGGTATTGCGGGTCTACAAGACAAACGGAGGAGTCCTGTTCTTGTTGGGCAGATCCGCGAGATTACACAAGCTATTGCACAAGATAGCGACGAATTGCCAAAAATACACGCAACCGTCGGTGTGCTACTTCGGTGGTAAAATTAATCTGGTGTTCGGTTGTATTAATCTCCTCCCAGGCTACGTTTCACGTCAACCTACAATCTTGTACAACTGTACTTGAAAGACAGGTATTGGTAAGCATCAGTTTAGAAGCTGCTGGAATATTGGGTAACTGTGAATGATGGGAGCGGTTCGCCGGCATCGCCAAAGTGAGTCTATTCAATGTTTAGCACAGCTATCTATGTGGCAAAGGTCAGGGGCAGGTGTCCTGCCTGTCCTGCGATGTCATGAAATCCACCAGCTGCTTCTCTAGAGCCATGAGCCTGGCTGGCTCATTCATACCTGCGTGTGAGCACGTGGGTAAACACGTAGAGACAGCACTTCTTCAATTAATTATTATTTCTGCCGTTTCTGTTGGACATACTGATGGCGGAGGTACCGCCAAACATGCCTACAACCAGGGGTGGTATTGTGCTGCTCCATGCTTGCAATACTGTGCAGTGGCAGACCAGGTCAAAGGTGCAGGCCTGATGATCCGTTGTCATGGCGTGTGCAGACGTACGCAATGCTGTCTCACCCTTCTGCAGTACTCCCTGGGGCAATCACTGGCTCTCCAGCCCAGGACAGCCTGGGCATTCCATGGACCACAGCTCCGTCCGACACGTAATGAGATGGCAGACAGGTGTCCAAAGTCTGCCACAACGCATGCTCATGTACAGTAGCTGCAGAGACTCTCTAAATTCAAAAGCCTAATTTCTAAACCAGCTAAACTGTATGTGACACTTGATCCCAGTGTAGCTACCTGGTCTTCAGAATCATCCCCATTTCCCCTGTGCACCTACTGCCCAGTACTGAGTACTGAGTACTGGTTCACACGACCATGATCGTTGGCATACTGGGGATTGGGGACGTGCAGTACATTGGTACTGAGCGTGGGTTTGTTTGCTGCACTGTGGAATGTACCAGGTAATGATTGAGACCACCCAGCACATGCGCTGAGGACCAGTGCACTAGACCATGGACCATGGTAGACTAGGAAGATGCTCTGTACAACTACAAGTACAGTGCCCAGTGGAGCCTACTGCCTGGAGCCACTGCTGCAAGTGCAAGTGCTGGCTCAGTAGACTAGTGGCAGTAGTGCAGTCAGTACAGTGTCAGTGGAGATACATGTATGAAGGAAGATGGCCTTGGTGCTGACAAAAGTCTTAGACAAAATGCTCTATACAATCGTCACCTGCAGACTGCAGTACATGTCACGTGACGTGCTGTAACACACTACTCGTACACTGTACGTATCGGCAGTGCAGTACACAGGGGAAGGTAGACATGGTTTACTATTGTAAGTACATAGTCGCCAGCTCACTGTATCATATGGGTCGATATGTACAACGTAAATCGCACCATCATGCTCGCTCCACAGCTGTGGCTTGGCCAGTCATCAACACAGCTGTATGCTGTGTCGACCAGTAACACCTTAACGCAGCAGTTACCGGTTCCCTGGACATCTTGACCTCTGTAACCATGGGCCGTGGTTGACAGAGCTAGAGATCCACACCTAGGTACCTCCCCATGCTTGCTACACATGATGTACATGATCCCAGTGGGATAGTCCTACTAACTTACTGTATACGTATTAAAATTAAACAAGACAGTGGTTATGCTTATGCATGTACTCCTTGGGGATCATGTTGATGGACAGACAACTGCCCGAGGTCCCGTAACGTTATAACACTCTTGCGGTTGAACCAAGAGTACACGTGGCTTTTGGTTGAACAGGCTCTATTCAGCCTACTTGAACCGCACAGGAACGCACTGAAGGGAGTGTTATGTCTTCTGTTATTGTTCCGACGAATCAACCCCACATCCAGACTATCCACAGTTCCATGCTGAGCTCTGTACCACCCATTTGTCAGTTTATAGTGAGTCCATTCAGTGGTAAATGTTTCACATATGATGAAGAGAGGAGGAACATCCTTCAAATAATTGCACAGTACTAGTGGCTGATGATGGTATTTGCAACAAGCATGACTCAGGATGAATTCTAGTAGACCCGTCACCAGCTGCAGCAGGGTTCTTTCCAACTACATGTATATTATACGTAGTTACAATGTACGTACCCAATCTCCGGAGAGCTGGGTGTTTCGACCTTGTACCTCAAGTTGTAGTATTTATTTAATTATAATGACTTGGCCTCTGCAGAGTCGAACAACTGTCACACCACCGCATGTAATGATAGCATGCACAACCCGGGCTGATCCTGTGCAGAAAAGGAACGGCTCACGCAGTTTCTTATGACGTTATCATTGACAAATATAATGATAGATCATATAATTATGGCAACTGTGTGCATTGATATAAAGATTATAATCCTACATCGAACTACTTGTAGGATGGGGTCAATTCAAGTCAATCATGTGTTCAAAGCTAGAGCTTCTATAGATGACTTCTAATGTACATACATGTACGTGTAGTTTTATCTGTGTCTCATAGTGCATGTGCTGATGTATACAGCCTTCTTCAGTACGTTTATAGTGACTCTATACTCCTTGGAAATGGTTGAGTTCTAGCCAATATTCGTTTCATGTTTGACTCATTCACTGGCAAGCACTCAGCACTGACATAGCATACCATTGCTGCTAATTACTTAAAGACAACAGTATTTCAAGGAATCAACATCACCATGGCTCGGTAGCTTCTCTATTTCTTCTTTGACTGCCTCTTCTTCTTGCTCCGGCCTCTGCCGAAGATATTCGCCTTTGACGTTTGCTTGCTGCTGGCCAGACCTGTGCTCCTGATGGCGTCCGTGCCAAACACGCAGCCGAGAACAACCTGCTGGTAGATGCGGAACGTGGGCAGGTCATGCGCAAAGCCAGGCCGCTGCTCAGCAGTCTGCAACCACAGCTTATCCAGGGAGACATCCGCTGCACGAGTTATGAGGAGAATCAGCAAATAAGGGCATGATTAGGACCAGTCTGGGCCAGTACTCCTCATGAGAATGCTGGATAGCCATAGTATATAATCTCATCCCTTTGTACCCAGATTCCCTACACGGACAGCTGCTCTACTTGTGTACATCCTGATGCTACTTTCAAGAACACTAAGGGGCTGCCCATAATTATCGATATTTTACACGAAGAGAAAACGTTTCGTTTATGGGTGGGTGGGTCAAGGAGAGTTGGATTTGCAAAATATTGATATGCGAGACATCAATGCATTCTGGCTGTCAAGTAAATCTATTTTTCGTTCAGGGGGGGGGTCCTAACTAAACTTTTTTTTTCGTTTCGTGAAAATATTCGATAATGCCGGATGGCCCCTAACACAGGTGCCAAGTTGATAAATACCACGGAGAGATTCATGTACTGCTAAAATACAATTGTCTCTAATTACAACTAGGGGTGAAACGAACGAACGAAACTTCGAATATTCGTTAGAAAAATTTGAAAACGAACGAACGAACTCGCAAGATTGATAAACGAACACAGCAAGCAAGCATAAAGATCGCTTGTGACTAGATCTTGAAGGAGCCGCGGAGGTTGGGAGATCGCGAGCTTGCACGCTGATCGACTGCGTTTGCCTTGATGATCACTTGAAGCAAGTTGAAGGAGTTGAGTGTCGCGTCGGGACAAAGTTTCTTGAAATATTTCTGTGTGTCCGTTTGAGTTAGATTTGTACTCGTAGTGAAAGGATTCGAGTCGCTTGTGACATCTGTTCCCGAAAGCAAACGTTCACTCGTTGCAATCATGTCAAAACATTCGAGCCTTTCATCGCGATCCGGAGTTGGAGCGGAATTTGATAAAGTGGTCGGGAAAGACGAAGTCCTTTTCTCAATTTCAAAAAGGTTCTATCACACAGCAGAGCGACGACGAGCAATCTTCGTACCCACCTCAAGAAGTACCATTCTCCTGCTCTGACGACCTGAGCTAGCGATGAGAAGAAAACTCTCGTCCGAACGATGGTGATGGACTTTGCAGCTAGCTGCAAAACCCTGTGATTCAGCTCAGGCGGACGCGATAAAAAAATTCTGTTCTGGCAGTGTATCGTACACCGTCAATACTGAACTGTGGCCAGCCAAGTGCAGAGAACGCCTGTACTGACAGACTGTATGGTCTTCAAAACAAATTCATCCATGAAATACATAATGGAGAATGTTCGTTCGAGTTCGTTCGTTAGTGTGACCGTTCGTTCGTATTCAAAATTCGATGTTCGTTTCACCCCCAATTACAACTCACCTTCGTGAAGGTTGAGCTGTGATCTTCGTTTGCTAGCACTGAGCATGACGTGAGCAGCTGAGATACAGGCTGAGACAGCTCCTGTGCGCACATCACCGTTCTTGCAATGGATGAGCACGGGCTGGTCGAGGGCAGACACAGGACACGGATTACGCAATACTATCAGCCTTTCGTGTCGACATCACCTAGCAAGCTTGGCTAGTCTTCACTTAGGCCAAATGGAATGAAGAATGAGGAATGAGCAGGGTCAATAAGGTGCTAATATGCATGAAACTGCAGAATAGGCACAGCTAGAATATATCTAAGTAGTCCTACAACACACAGCGGTGACTACTTGTTGTGGCTACCGACATCACTAAGTACTATAAGCATGATGTTCACAGGAGGAGGTTTCAAATCAGAGGGAGTAGATATTGTCCAAAGGAAAATCAAAACAAGCCTGGAATCAGATAATTTTATTTAAAACTATCCTCACATCATTCATTAGTTCGATAGGTGAAAATGGGAAATATCTCAGTGCAAAAATGACTGTCATCACCACTGGTGGAATCTGTGACCAGCAATGCATTACTGCACCCGGCACTAAGCCATGCTCCATCACAAGCAAGCAGACTAATCACCCTAGCTCAACATGCTACATGTTATGCATGAACCTAGCTTGCCCTCTCACCTCGTCTTGTTTTCGTCTTGCCAGGACCTCTTCAATGAGCAAGGCTATATCACATGCTGATCCATCAAGACCTGTGCAGACGAATACATAATGGAATCTCGGGGTACATCCTTCGGGTAATGGTATCTCGTAAAGTGGTATGTAGAGAGAGAGAGAGAGAGAGAGAGAGACAGGGGAAGAGAGAGCGAGCGAGAGAGAGAGAGAGAGAGAGAGAGAGAGAGAGAGAGAGAGAGACTCGGGCGGGGAGACAGAAAAGGATAGAAACAGAGCGCGTTGGTGAATCAGGGTGAGTCTCGCCACACAACGCAGAGGGTGACTCGGATCAGCTTTTGATACTAGTCAATGACTTACCTTCTTCTGTCCATGCATTATAGTGATATGCCTGCACTGATCGTATCTCCATTGTACGGCTGTTCTCCAGAACATAATCCTGCGTGGTGACACTGTCAATGCTATGAATCTTGATAGGGGTGTGGATCACCTTCAGCGAACTCGGGTATATCTTGCCAACTGTGGCCTGCGGTGACTTGGCTTCCACCAGGTCAAAGTCTTGCTCCACTTCTGAACTATAGCTGAAAAGGCATATAACAAAAATATTGGAATTGGCACCGGAATCCGTTTAAATAAAGTGCTTTATCGTTCATCAGACTTCATTGCGATCACTTTGGCCAGTAACTCTCAGCTCCGCTGACAAGATGTAACAAGACCAAAACAGCTAGCTTTCAGCAGATTGCGGAATTGGTGCTATACAGTTTGCAGGTACGAATGCCAAGAGCGTCTTGGAAAGACAGACTTTGACCTTACCTTGTCGTGTAGCCATCTGACTCTGCAGTGAGTGACACGACGATTCGAACACGGTGCTCCCAGATCAACCTGGAAACAAGACAACAGTAGTCTTAGCGCCGTGTTCTGCCGTTATGTGCATGCTCGTGTGTGTGTGGGTGAGAGTCACACTGTGCTTGTGTGTGTGTGGGGGGGGGGGGGGAGGAGGGGGGAGTTGAGCTACCCAGTAACTGCTGCATGGCATTCTCAACTTAGATTCACGGATGAGAAGAGACATCGGGAAAATATGAAGTGGCTGTATAACGTATACCGTATTTTTCCGGTTGTAAGTCGACTGTTTACGAATAAATAGAAGGAGAAAGGGTGGGGTTTGACTTACAACCGGGATTCGACTTACAACCAGGAACTATCAGTATCTTACAAAAAATGACCTGCACTGCATGCACGAATGCACCATGTGTACAAATTGTTTACCAGTTTATTGGCCTTTTTCAAGGTTTGGGATGTTATACCATCCACTAAGGAATGTGTACATGATGTGTTGATGTGTTAAAGGGGAAGTTAAGGCAAAAATTAAAAGTTCACCAGTTGTAGTCTTCGGGGTGCTGAGTCGAATGGTCTTGGTCCGAGAAAGCTGAGATGCTCCCTTCCTACTTGAATCCCGATCGAACTCGCGCACTTCCACCGAAACTGGGTGACTGCGCCCTACTAGATGGGGATTTGTATGCAAAATGTCACTAAAAGCGCCATTTCGTTCTTATAAAAGCACGGATGACCGCGGTTGGCCCATATGTTGTAGTCTTTTGGACGCTGAGTCGACTGGTTTTGGCCCGAAAAGGCTGCGATGCAGCGTTCCTCCTTTATTCCCAATCGAACATGGTTGAACAAGCGGTCACGTGCTCCTGGGTGCCCAAATCACCTGGTCACCACGCCAGCAGGCGAAAACTTTCACACCAAGGTTCAACTCGAGTGACAAGACTGCACCCAAAAAAGGTCAAACAGGCTAGTAAGTTGTACCCTGCAGGCACGGTGACCAGGTGACTGGCGTACGCAGGAGCACGTGACCGCTTGTTCAACCATGTTCGATTGGGAATAAAGGCGGAACGCTGCATCGCAGCCTTTTCGGACCAAAACCAGTCGACTCAGCGTCCAAAAGACTACAACATATGGGCCAATCGCGGTCATCCGAGCTTTTATAAGAACGAAATGGCGCTTTTAGTGACATTGTGCATACAAATCCCCATCTAGTAGGGCGCAGTCACCCAGATTCGGTGGAAGTGCGCGAGTTCGATTGGGATTCAAGTAGGAAGGGAGCGTCTCAGCTTCCTCGGACCACGACCATTCGACTCAGCACCCCGAAGACTACAACTGGTGAAATTTTAATTTTTGCCTTAACTTCCCCTTTAATAACAGGGAGTGGTTAGTAGTGCTTCATTGGGTGAAAACTTTAAAAATCAGAATTGAGACCTCCGGATACGGGGGTCGACCTATAACCGGGGTCGACTTACAACCGGTAAAATATGGTACATTACAATGTAGAAACACAGACTTTGGTGATAGTAAGTTTTAAGGCACTGCAAGAACGCTATGTGGCCCAACTTCTGCGAAAACCAGGCTTAGGGTGAAAATCATTTTTTTGAGAAAAATGATGTTTTGTAAAAAGGTTGTGTCGCGTCGACGCTCGAGTGCAGTGAAGTGGAACCAAAGAGAATCTCGCTTGTTTGAAGAAGTAGCACGGTCATGGCAGGAAGGGTTTCAGCAGTCAGGGAAGTCAAAGGGCTTCCGCAAGCCTTCCGGTAGAATATTCCCTGCTACTCCTCTAGTCACAACGAAGAGTTTTTGAGCTGATCGAACGGATTCCATCTCCTTCACTCAGGAATGGCGAAATTTCTGCGCTAGCTGCTGCTTGCGGAAAATGGTGAAGAAATCGTCTCCAGTTAGAGTCGTGATGGCGATAGCGAGGAGAACCTGGACGACATCGATCCAGCCAATCGAAGTATGGAGATACTAGCTGTTTCTTGGCCTCACGCAAAGGGAACACGCGCAGCAGAGCTCATACGTTTGCATCAAATTCACGAGGAAAAAGGCTTGAAGCGCAGTGTGAAAACGGTTTTGAATTGAAGTCCTTGGCGATGAAGTGCTCACTGAATGCCAGGCGAATGAGCGAGCAGATCGAGAGGCCTCCACTCGAGACTTTCCTCGCTGGACAGCTAGCTGCCAGGGATTGTACGGCGTGCCGAGATAATCGCGAGATTTCACTTGCTGGTAAGCACCAAGCAGACACTGCAGCACGCCAGCACACTATGCGCATACTATGAACAGTGGAACAGTTTGAAAGGCCGTGTTCTTTCTGGTTTCTGAACAGTTGTACCCTTCAAAAGGTGCCATCTCGACTGGAGTCGGGTTTCCTTGTGGTGTGTAGCGCCAGAGCATGCCAGTACATGTATTCAGCCCCAGAATGTGCTGAGTGAGGAGCAAACAAAACATGCAGAACTGTGCATGGCAGCTACAGCCTGCAGCACCAAGAGGCCACAACAGGCCTGCCCCCACATGCCTACATTGTCATGTCACCTAAACAAAAATCATCCATGTGTCTTCCTTCACTCTGGTGGATCTCTCTTCATTTCTTTCCTGTGATAACAATTTTGTGTTTTTTTTGGATTTTTTAACACAATACCCTGATGTGTTTGAGATACTTTTAATACCACTATGAGTCGACACACACCTGTAATATTTTGTTTCCTGACCTCCCATGCCCAGTAGAAGCTGAAAATGGGAAAAAGTCTTTTTGTGAAATTTCACCCTAAGCCTGGTTTTCGCAGATTCTGGGCCATGTTATGCAATCTGTGCAGAGCATTCTACCATGTAAAGTGCTGCTCAATGACATCCGATCAAGTTAGTCAGACAGCTTCGCAGCCTCGGAACCTGTTCGCATCCCGGTGTTTGCAGGTCTAGGGCTGCACAGAGCCTGGTGTATACTGGACTCACTGGATTAGATTTCAATGAGCAGTGAACATCCTGCACATATGATCCCATGTGCATCAATCTACTCTCGCCTAGTAAAAAACGCTCTGGTGAAAACTGCCAGGTCTTATTTAGTAGATGGTGGCAGGTTGCGGGCGGTCTCACCTCCAGAAGTCTGAGATGTTTTCACTGAGCGGCGCCTGTGTAGCAATGCACAGGCGTGAGTCCAGCGTGTTGCCAACATAGCTGCAGAGTAGAACATCGCAATCAATCACAAAACAATGCCAATGAATACACACACACACTCATTAGTTGAGGGTGTTGAAAAAGGAACAAATTCACACACTACCCATCCATCAGCCCTAAGTTACAACCTTAAGTAGTACTAGGCATCGTGAGAATAAAGAATTCAAAAAAAGGGATACACTTCTACCTTGCGTTGATGAAGGTGAAGTCGGAAACTCTCTCAATTCCCAACAGCGTGGCGAGACTGCGGTTGGGCGCCAGTGGGGCATTGGGACGGATCTTTTCTACAAACTGTGTTGAGCTGCAACAACAGCAGGGGAATGACAGAAAATCAGCCTTTACACAACTTGAATAGCCTGGCATTTGTTACAGGCAAGGCATACATGATGCGTCCATACAATCCAGCAGATAATGTATTGCATCTCAGTGAGATAATGGCTTTCTTCATCATCTCTCTGCACACCAATAAGTACCGTGATTCTTCATGCCCTCAAGCATCTTCCAGATGGGGAATCGGAGCAAGGACGACACACACACACACACACACACACACACACACACACACACACACACACACACATGTCCACACTAGGCATACCTTGCAATATCATGCTGGTACGTGATCTGTTCCATCCTCGGCTGAAGATCAACAAATTGTTCTTGAAGAGGATTGCCAGTTTGGAGCAGTGTGAGGCGTTCCAGAAGTGATTCATTCTAGACCAACAACAGCACAGTATACAGCACACATTACCCCCAGTATACTTTACCCCCCCCCCCCCCCAGTATACACCCCCCCCCCCCCCAGTACACATTACTCCAGTATACTTTACCCCCCCCCCCCAGTATACATCCCCCCCAGTACACATTACCCCCAGTATACTTTACCCCCCCCCCCCCCCCCCCAGTACACATTACCCCACAGCACACATCACCCTACCACAATGCAGCTGACTCATGCATTGAAGTATGTGTACGGTTGTAGCTGGTAAACTATCTCCTGGTCCTATGCGGGCCAGAGCTGATTGCGGATTGTAGACCGTATGGCAGCTGACAATTGAAACAATGGAAGCAACTTGTAATATGACTCTGGCATTCAGCTGCGGGCAAGTGGCTGGATCTTTCAGAGCGTGTCCCCGAGGGAATCTAGATATACCTGCACATACACTTCTATCTCTCTATCCACACCTCTAGGCTACGGGCACCTCGGTCTACCAGGCACCCTGTGGGTGAGTTTTAGGGAAATATTACTATTGTTTTGCCAATTTTGGTGGAAATACTGATGTTATATGCCCGGTCTGTGACCTTTCCCCATTGAAATGAATGTGATTACGAATTACGCACATTTTGAAGTTATAGGCAGTGCCAGGGCCCTGACCACCTGGAAAAGCGAAGTATTATATTGATATCAGAAATGTATACACTGATGGGTCAAAAGTAAGCAGTTACATAGCTGGTATCCATGGTTACCTGTGTTAGCGGCAATGTCAACGGTACGGGTGGCTCCGAGTCATCAGCCTTGCTAACCGGAATGAGACTTGCTCTCTCATCCGTAATCGGCTCCAGGCTGCCAATACTTGTCTGTACACGACAAGTACATGTATTCACACCATCACATAGAAACACATTGTCACGCAACCATACGCCATTCAATCATGTACATTAGGACAGTGCAGAGCTGGGTTTGCTATGTATGTACTGTGTGTCCGTACATGTAAGAAGAAGATAACGGTCGCCTTTAGGATGATACATACAGGTACGTTGCAATCTACATGTAACTCTCTGTAACACTAATGCACCCCGGTGGACAACACGTCTCCTGGTCTGCCCCTCATGGGGCCACATAGCCAGTTGTGGCAGTGGAAGAAGGAAGGAAGGAATGAATGCAGTATCTGATGCCTATCTGTGATCATGCTGATCTATGATAGTGCATTGTGTATCCCCCATTCACTAGCACATCATGTTGTTCTCTGAGGATAGTTTGGAGCATGAAACTTGAGTGAGTTGAGATAGCATATTTCTTCCCTACCATCTGTGTTTCATATTACTGTGTACTTGGTCCGGCTCATCGCAATTGTCGCTTATCCCCCACGCACTTTTTGACAGGTAAAACCCAGTCCAATCACGATATCTTACTTACTTTTGCTTGGGAGGTCGTGATGGCAAGATCAAAGTAGGCACCAAAGAAAAAATGATCGCGACTAGCGCTTTGAATCGCGATGTATTCGACTTTTTTGGGAAGTGGGAATCTGGCCATTCACTGTCTGTGTTGCCAAAAGCCAAGCGCAGCGACCCGAAGACCGGAACTGTAGCAGGTGCAACTGACATCCTGGCCTGGAGAGCGTGACAGGCACGAGTGCACGGCAGAAGAGTATGAGCATCATGCTGAAGAAGAAAGGTGTTTTTGATGCGATGTGCCCGGCCGACCTGTTGGTTGTTCCTTCTCTTGGTGGACCTAGCGGCCGCATTGCAAGAGTCGTGCCCAGCCTATCCAGGGAGTGTATGACACCTGTCTGGAGAGGCCTGTATGCCTCATTTGAAGGCTTTGTTGAAACACACTGTGGTGACACACAGGTCACACTGCCCACGGTTCCTTCAAGCACCGAAGTGACAGCCACAACTGTTCCTTTCCCATTACTGCCATACGACAGGCTGAGAACACAAGAGATACTCTACCAGTCTACGCCAGCAGCTAGACACCAGCAAATGTCAGCTCATGTAACGACGCGGCTCGAGAGATGCAGAGTTGAGTGAACTTTGGACCTGTATTACTAGTGTGAGTGCAAGAACGCGCTCCTTCGCTGATTTATTTCGTGCATTTCGCTTACCTTGCTTCCTGTCTTCGACTCACTTCACCTGATTCCATTGCTGAATTTTTTTTCTTGTGGCGGAGAGTATTCATGTATCATGCTTCCTCACTATGTCCGTTTGACATTTCACAGAGCGGTAAAAAAAACTCCTGTTCTTAGTGGCGAAAGATAAGCGACAATTGCGATGAGCCGCACCAAGTACGTTGTGATGCAAAGGCAACGTCTGGCAACCCCTTTACGTTTCTCCCACCGGTTAGGAGCTTTTCTAAGAACTCGCACACTCCATTGCAGCCACTCATACATTACGGTACCTCAACTCAAACTTTCCAAATACGGTCTCGGTGAGGAACTGCTGCATTTGATGCCGGGTCATGGGGTGGGCGTCCCACGGAAACGGAAAAGTAGTTCTTGATACACCCAGTACTAGGATCTGTAATTCTTAATTTAATTTGCTCATTTCCCCCTTGATAGATGAATTAGGGTTCCAGCCAAAAGAGGGTGAGGTTGACAGCCCGGCCCGCCCTACTCTGATAGCGGCCCTACTCATGTTTTGATTCTCGTGAACTTACATGACTGGATGGGTCATTGGCTTGGTAGCCTCCACCGCGAGGAGTCTGCACTGCTTGCTGTACAGAGCTGTGCGACGTTTCACGGCTCGGTGGACGGCGTCCGGATGGGCGAGACCGGGTCTTGGTGACATGGGACAGGCTTGACGCTGATCTCTACAGTACATTGGTGCATAGCAAGGTGGTATGAATCATCATCATCATCATTGACAGTGTGGGTAGTGTAGGAATAGCTATAACCAGTTCTAAAAGAGTCGACGATGTAGCTAAAGTAGCCTCATGCTCAACTCCTGACCTACATTACTTGCCCAACGTATGGAAGATGAGGAAAGAATTGCATAATTATACTCAAGTACACATCAAATTCTTACACTGATTTGCTGGATAGCAAGGTCAGTTTCATCTTGATCCTGTTTACCAGCCATACAAACACAAACACACATATGCACACACATACACACAAACACATGCACATGCCACAGCACACAACGGTGAAAAGTAAATTAATGTTAACAGAGAAAGATCAGCAATGACTAAAATCGACAACGGCATTTAGCATTTTGGAATTCTCCACGTTTCATCTCAAATGCAGGGTATAACCTGGAATGGACGTGCATGGAGATGGTCCTTGCAAGAATGATATTGTACATGACTGCGTCCTCATAGACATAGTTCTGTTCTGGTTGTAACAAAACCCACCCATAGCTGCCATTACACACACCCATAGCTGCCATTATACCCACCCATAGCTGCCATTATACCCACCCAAAGCTACCATTATACCCACCCAAAGCTACCATTATACCTACTCAAAGCTACCATTATACCCACCAAAACCTGCCATTGTTCAGTAGTGAGATTCCCTTCAAAGCAGAAACACTTCAAACCCCACTCAGTGTAAGAACAAGGTCAGTGGCAAAGACAACAACAACAACAACAACAACAACAACAACAACAACAACAACAACAACAACAACAACAACAACAACAACAGCAGCAGCAGCAGCAACAGCAGCAATAGCAGCAACAGCAACAACAAACATGCTCTCACCAGATCATTCTCTGTGGCATCTTCAATAAACACATCTGGATGTTCAATAGACTGTCGTCGGTCACGATTACTCCCTGCTGCAAGCACGGCGTTCAATTTCTGTGAAAGAGCCTCCATGTTTTCATTGTTGCCAGATTTTACCCGGCCACTTGATTTGGTTTTCTTAACGGATGCTTTCTTCACCGGACTAGACTTGTCTCTAGTACTGCTGGGCTTGGAAAGGCTGGCTGTTGGCAGGAGTGGCGAGGCGTCACTTCCCACTCGAAAGCGCTGGTCCTCAGCCACCAGGGTGTCCATGTGAGCAGCACCGTGTTGTGCTACACCAACACCCTGTTCATCGTCTGATTCTGGAGACTGCACGCCACTGTCGCACGTAGGTTCACTGGGCTCGAGGTGGCGATCGGATTGAGGCAACTGTGGTGAGTTGGAAAACTCTATGTTCTGGTAGGGATTCTCCATTGCACTGGCATTACTCACCACGGACACTCTGAGCGATTCTGGTCGCAAGCCAGATGCCTTAGCGCTCTCCATTAGTACTTGTTCGACGGTAACCTCCTCTGACTCGAATTTCCTTTTCTTGTTTCGTTTGCTGCGTCGCGGCGTTGGAATGCGAGACAGTAGAGGAGATAACCGGCCTTTACTTGCCTCCTCCTTGACCTGGTCAACATCACTCTTTCTTCGTCTGGATTCCTTGCGCGGTGACTCGGTTTTGGTCTCCGTTGCAGGACCACCGGTGATGACCTCCATGGTGGGTTTGGGCTGGACTGAAGCTGTCTCCTCAACAGCTTTGGGCTGTGGACGATCTCCCTCACCCTCGTTGGGTGCTTGCGACGCCCAGGCCTTCAGGATATCATCATTGTCATCGTCCATCTCTTCAAGGACGCCGTTGGTTTCTTTGTCCATGGAGCTAGCGAGACTGGACGATGGTGTAACTCGACCCCGACGCCAGCCTCCAGACAACGCAGCGTTGGGATCAACGATAACACTGTTGCGAGATTTGGCCGCCGTCTTCGATTTCGCCTCCAGCACAGCGTCTTCCTGGATGGTGGGCTCCACGATACTGGCTGGTCTTTTCTGACCTTGTTTAGGTTTTCTGACTCGTACTTGCCCTGCTGCCAGTACTGGAGGAGGAGGAGGTAGATCACCACCAAAGCTGGATTCACGGTCCCCGCCATCTGGCATCTCAGCATCAAGATCAGCAGGAAGTGGCGGTGGAGGTAGTGATGCCTGGGACGGCTGCTTGGGCATGGGCTTAGCAAGCTGGTCAGAACCGGTTGTCAACGTAGCATGCTTCTGATCCTGTAGCAGATAACATAGTGAACAGGTACACATTGGCTCAGGTGCTGTCATGGAATGAATATGTTTTGCATGATCACGTAGTGGTAGCCAATGCAGGGAGGGTCATCAAATCTATGGCAGGCAGAGAATAAAAGGAGTAGGGTGTGTTATGCCAGGTGTGGTCTTACTCTCCCCCCCCCCCCACACACACATACACTCCACTCTCCTCTTCATTCAAATCTTCTCCATTCCACACTCCCCGCTCCCCTCTCCGTCCCCTCCTTTCTCCACCCCTTCCTCTCTCTCTCCCCCTCCTCTCTCTCTCCCGCCCGCCCCCCCCCCCCCCCCTGTCCCTTTAGCTGACTGTGAACAGCTCGAGTGACCAGAATACAATCTAAAACTTCGTCAGGGTCCGAATGAGGACGAAACCTCCTAAACTCTGGATATACAGCATCTTACCTCTGACAAGCTGATAAGCTCTGTTTGACTCCCGCTGAGCGTTGCAGAGCTGGCTTTACGATTGCCAAACAGACTCCACCTCTTCTTTCTGCCCTCGGATCCAGACGGAGATGTCAGCGAGTTTCTGTCAGCTGAAAAAAGGGATAGAAACACTGTTGGATTGATGTGAGTTTTGATTGCATACTTTATTTAACAAACATGGATTGGATTCTTCCCTTAGTGATCCGAAGCGAAAACAGCCTTTAATTAAACCGTGATGCTAGCCTACCATCTCATTACTGGTATTGCGTGACCGTATTGCACGTTATCTAATTCACAACAGGTACTGCAGGTATTGCAAGACAGGTGCTGCGCAGCAGGTTCTGTGAAACAGGTACTCATACTCTGCAGAAGGTGTGGTGCAGCAGGTATCGTGATTGCATCACACTGCATCATGGTATGTATGTGTACTTGTGCACATGTACAAATTTTCTTGATGGGACACAAGAGCTCGCCCAGAATGCAATGGCTTACAGAAGATGTAGCTACGCCGCGATGGCCGTGTGAAGTTTAGAATGCGACTACCAAGACCTTGATGTTTGGCATCCTGTCCATCAGTTTCTGCAAGGAGAACATCGCAGACAGTCATGTTAAATCGGATGCTAATTATTACCTTGGTGTACCCCCCCCCCCCCCCCCCCCTGCTCACCCCTCCCTATTCCACCACTCATAACTTCACATAGAGGCTAGCGACACGAGTTTCCCTGAAAATCAGCAATGGCTGGTACTGTAAGTCTACACATTTCGGCCTCCCAGGGCTAAAACACATTTCGGCCTCCCAGGGCTAAAACACATTTCGGCCTCCCAGGGCTAAAACACATTTCGGCCTCCCAGGGCTAAAACACATTTCGGCTTCCCAGGGCTAAAACACATTTCGGCTTCCCAGGGCTAAAACACATTTCGGCTTCCCAGGGCTAAAACACATTTCGGCCTCCCAGGGCTAAAACACATTTCGGCTTCCCAGGGCTAAAACACATTTCGGCTTCCCAGGGCTAAAACACATTTCGGCCTCCCAGGGCTAAAACACATTTCGGCTTCCCAGGGCTAAAACACATTTCGGCCTCCCAGGGCTAAAACACATTTCGGCCTCCCAGGGCTAAAACACATTTCGGCCTCCCAGGGCTAAAACACATTTCGGCCTCCCAGGGCTAAAACACATTTCGGCTTCCCAGGGCTAAAACACATTTCGGCTTCCCAGGGCTAAAACACATTTCGGCTTCCCAGGGCTAAAACACATTTCGGCTTCCCAGGGCTAAAACACATTTCGGCTTCCCAGGGCTAAAACACATTTCGGCTTCCCAGGGCTAAAACACATTTCGGCTTCCCAGGGCTAAAACACATTTCGGCTTCCCAGGGCTAAAACACATTTCGGCTTCCCAGGGCTAAAACACATTTCGGCTTCCCAGGGCTAAAACACATTTCGGCTTCCCAGGGCTAAAACACATTTCGGCTTCCCAGGGCTAAAACACATTTCGGCTTCCCAGGGCTAAAACACATTTCGGCTTCCCAGGGCTAAAACACATTTCGGCTTCCCAGGGCTAAAACACATTTCGGCTTCCCAGGGCTAAAACACATTTCGGCTTCCCAGGGCTAAAACACATTTCGGTCTCCCAGGGCTAAAACACATTTCGGCTTCCCAGGGCTAAAACACATTTCGGCTTCCCAGGGCTAAAACACATTTCGGCTTCCCAGGGCTAAAACACATTTCGGCTTCCCAGGGCTAAAACACATTTCGGCCTCCCAGGGCTAAAACACATTTCGGCTTCCCAGGGCTAAAACACATTTCGGCTTCCCAGGGCTAAAACACATTTCGGCTTCCCAGGGCTAAAACACATTTCGGCCTCCCAGGGCTAAAACACATTTCGGCTTCCCAGGGCTAAAACACATTTCGGCTTCCCAGGGCTAAAACACATTTCGGCTTCCCAGGGCTAAAACACATTTTCGGCTTCCCAGGGCTAAAACACATTTTCGGCTTCCCAGGGCTAAAACACATTTCGGCTGCATTACATTTTCGGCCTGTATTGCTGCTGCCTGTATACACTGTCACACTGAACCTTGCAAAAAACCAAATTTCGGCCAAGTATGACCAGGCCGAAAATAGCCGAAAATGAATATGCGCCGAATATAATTTTGTTGATTTACAGTATAGAGATTAGATGGAACCATTCAGTGAAAGAAGTGTGTTATGTATCTGTGTGCCATGCCATGATGCTGTACACATTCTTTGCATTAATACTGGCAGCCTGGCACACGTCTGCTTATGTCTCATCCCTTTCATGGCATGTTGGTGTCTGCATACTGGAGCATGTGCGTTGTTTAACCTTGGTCACCTCGCACCACACTTCCTGCATTCATCCTTTACGAGTTGTACATTTTGACTGTTTGGTTTGTTTCATTGCATACATGACAGGTGCGTCAATGGCTGTGGCCGTGCACTGTGAACTTGTCTGGACTGTGCGCGGGCCCGCGGCTCCTTTTGGCTTAGTTGTTTGGTGCGGTATTCTTGCGCAACTGTTGCATTGCTTAGGTCGGTTTTTTGCTGCCTTTCAGTAAAGTTGGTGTCTTTCCTTGCTCTCCCAATAATCAACTTCAGTAACCTAACCGTTGCTGGATCCTGGCCTGTGTGTGATCGTAGAACAGGAGCAGGAAGGGGCAAGTTAGTTTACAGGTTGAACCTGTAATTACTAGTAGCTGTTGCATAACATTGTGACTTGATGTGCGGCTAATATGTCACATTGTGTCTTACCATTGAGAGAGGTTGTGGACTCGTCATCAAATGTCCGGAAACCCTCCAGGGCTACTTCTGCAGAAGTCCTGCATGCCAAGCATTCCAGCAATGGACATACAGCCATTAGGGAAGAACATGACAAGCATTCCAGCAATGGACATACAGCCATTAGGGGAGAACATGACAAGCATTCCAGCAATGGACATACAGCCATTAGGGGAGAACATCATCAAACTGCTAATGGTCATAGATGAGCTCAGAGGAAACATTATGCTGGAAAACAGAATCAGTAGCTGCCAGCAATGTGATGGTTTAACACTCACCCCCTACAGTGATCCTAACCACACCAAGTCAACATTGTATGAAACACTTTGCAGTGCTGAAAATGGTCATGCCCAAATGATGCTGTTCACCGAACAGACAGACACAGAGTCACACAATACTTCACTATATCACATTTTTCAAACTGTTTCCATGACAATGCGTTCCACCACTGCAGGTGGGATCTGTCGCAGTTCCTATGTTGAAAATCGTGTATAATTCTAAGTTCTTAGACAACGAACGGGTAACGTTATATAAAGACAATGCATGAGAAGTGGTGACTACATCATGGATTATGTGTCTTTACTCACATGTCCCCAACTGTGGGCAGTGCCTGCACTGCAGCTGCTGTAGCCGAGCCACGTGCTCGAAACACACCACGCTACAGCAGAGCACATGTGACACACCAAGCATGGTCCATTATTACAGTCATTCACAATCATAATTATATATGTAGCCGAGCCACGTGCTCGAAACACATCACGCTACAGCAGAGCACAGCACACCAAGCATGGTCCATTAACGTTATTACAGTCATCCCCAATCATAAGTATTAGAAGTTAACATTCCGTCATGCTCGCGTAGTACAGTGCTGCTCCATGTAATCTGATCCAGGGAGACATTTCCACGCCGGACGACGTAGAGCCCTAGACCTGCGAGCACCGGGGTGGTGTACTGGTGCAGGGCGGAAACTGGACTCACGCGATAGAATTTCATCGAGCAGCACTGAAATACTGTCTTATTGTGTTGTGCACCGGCCATTGTCAGGTTCCACAACAATCAAACCTCGTCCAGGTACATGTACATGTAGGGTTTCTGCTACTTTAGCACTGGGCCGCGAAGACATCACTCAAAAGAACAACATGCATGCAAGTCAATTTTGTTGTAAAGGGGATTCCCCCGGCTCAATTTACAGGAAAGACAGTTCTTGGTGAAGTTTGAAGCTAAGCTACTGGCATGAGCATAGTAATTATATTGCACCGTGATAGGGGAAAGCTCTCAGTTTGACGGCAGTAATCAGCCCATACCTGTGTGGTAGCTTGTGCATTTCTAAAGCTGCTGCCCGTCTTCAGTTTCTTCTGGCCCTGCAGGGCGTTGCCACGAACTGTTTGCAGCACTCGGCCTTGATCGTCGGTGGTGGTCGGTGAGATGCCAGAGCCGCCATCCGTGACCTCATTGCTATGTGCATCTAAGTTTACAGATGACGAGGCCAGGTCGATCAGAGACAGATGAGTGCCCAGCTGCTGCAGGTTGGAGTTCTTGCGTAGAATGTTGCACAGCTGCACATGGTGGCAAACGTAGAATTGACAATGGATTCACAATACTCAGGCGTTTATCTCAGCTCTAGTAAAGCTGTCTCCTAAGTGGTCTTTCACTAGGCTACAAACAGTTGACTTTTATTTTATGTCAATTGTGGGGCACAACATTTGTTGAATTGTTATAACAATTCCACACATTTTTTGATCATTCAGTTGAAAACAGCTATGACTTATGTGTAAATGATCGCACTGGAGTTTACCAAAAATGCAGAAAGGGTATCTCAACTGTTACCAGGAAGCACAGAAGCTATTAAATTAAGTCTTGGTAGCAAGGCATAATGCTGGAGTTCTGAGACAATGTTTGAGTATCGTTGGACAGAGCTTCAATGCAAATATACTAGTACCCTTTTAAAGGCAGCCTTGGATCTGTTTGCCAGTGTGTAAAAAAATTTCCTTTCGTTCTTTGAATTTTTTAGTTAGAGATTGGGTTGTCAAGCATGTTGTGTTTGACCCTTGCGCCATGTTGATGATGACAAGAGTCGAAAACACACTGAGATTACAACTGCCTAGTCTGCAGACAAATACCTCGGTGAAACCCTGCACGGACATGTCGGTTTCATGAATATCCAGCGTGACCAGAGTGTCATTGTAGTGACCGCACAGCACCTCCTTGAAGCGATGTCCACCGTCATCCGTGATGGGATTCTGTATTGACGACAGACAATAGTGGCATCACAAAGTATCACATGCAGTGACACATGAAGTATGATTGTGCTCTTTGCTCATCCCATGCAGTACGTCATAGGCTGTGTTTACAGGATGATAGTGGTAGTGGTGGAGCCAATACAATAATATCAAGCATGGTGGTGTATTTACTTAGTGTTGCTCCCTCCCTCCCCTCTCCGTATCTGTCTCTGTCTCAGTCTCTCTATCTCAGTCTCTCTGTCTCAGTCTCTCTGTCTGTCTATCAGTCAGTCTGTCTGTCTGTCTGTCTGTCTGTCTGTCTGTCTGTCTGTCTGTCTGTCTGTCTGTCTGTCTGTCTGTCTGTCTGTCTCTCTTTCTCTGTCTCTTTCTCTGTCTCTCTGTGTCTCTCTGTATCTCTCTGTCTCTTATGTCTCTCCCGGTCTGTCTGTCTGTCTGTCTGTCTGCCTGTCTGTAATATCTCTCTCTCTCTCTCATACACACACACACATATTATATATACACACACACACACGCACGCACACACACACACACACACACACACACACTCACACACACACACACACACACACACACACACACTCTCTCTCTCTCTCTCTCTCTCTCTCTCTCTCTCTCTCTCTCTCTCTCTCTATGCGTGCATACATGTGTTCAGTACCTCAGCAAGATAAAGACTCTTCAGTGATCTGTTCTGACTGAGAGAGCTAGCCAGGTAACCAGCTCCCTCGTCGCTGATACAGTTGCCAGATAGGACAAGGCGTTGTAGTGTGTCGTTTCCCTGAAGACCAATGGCCAGGTGTCTTGCCCCATCATCACCAATAGTACAGTCGCTGAGTCCAAGGGAGGTCAACACTGACACAACGACAGCAACAACAGCAATAACAGCAACAACAAGAAGAAGAACAATACCGATGATGACAACAACAACAACAACAACAACAACAACAACAACAACAACAACAACAACAACAACAACAACAACAACAACAACAACAACAACAACAACAACAACAACAACAACAACAACAACAACACGTTAAAACAATAATTCCACGTCCCCATTGCAATGACTATAATAATGGTAAACGATGGCACCTTGGGCCCAAAAGAGCATGTTGAACGTGGCAATTGCTGAATCCTGTTAGTCACCCAGGTCATGGTATGCTTCATCATGCTGTAATCGAAGTGTGGGGAAACTGCCATTTAACGTCAGCGGTTGTTATACGTGGATGGTTGCCATACGTCAACGGTTGTCATTTGTCGACGGTTGTCATACGTCGACGGTTGTCATACGTCGACGGTTGTCAGACGTGGACAGTTGTCATAGCGACATTTACTACGGTGCATGGTTAGGAGGAGAGCTGCAAAGTTGCACAGTTGTGATACGTGGTGAAATTTGTAGACTACCCTTACCATCATTCTCCAACAGCATACTGCCAAACGCTTCGGCTGCCTCGTCACTGATATCATTTCCACCAATACCCAGTGATCGCAGTGCAGGTAGGCTAGCAGCAGTAGCATCGTCGATGGATGAGCCTTCCTCATCCTCATCGTCGTCATCACTGACATCCAGCCTATCAGCTGTGCGTGCATACAGTATGGTGGGTTCAAGAGCGGTGCACACAACTCATACAGGTGTGATGAAGTATGCAGACATACACATACACCCCCCCCCCCCCCCCACACACACACACACCTCACACAGATACACATGCATAAACATTCTATTTCACAGTTCGGAATGCAAGGAAGTTCTCTTCACTAAGTGCCGACCAATCAACCCTAGGCTTAGGAAAACGGACTGGAAACACAAAATTTATATTGTTCCATTACAAGACAGCAAGGTGTCATCAGAAAAGCTTCACGGGCAAGGCCAGTCCAGTATACAGTCAGACCTCGAATAACCGCACACATCTGTTTTCCACAACAAATATCCGGATAGGCGAGGGAACTGGATAACCGAACGCCGTTTACATCACGTATGCTGTAAATATGTAACCAGCTATTTTCTTCCGGATGGCGAGGGATCCGGATAAAAGAGGACCGGATAAGGGAGGTCTGACTGTAGTAGCATTAGGGAGATATATAGTCACTGAGACTCCCTCGATTTAGGCTAAGGCCTGTGGAGAATCATAAAATACAAATACAAATACACTCATTGGATGCACCCAGTTTGCCCACAATGCCACCAGGCCAAAGATAGGCCCACTGTTCCATTGCATTCTGTAGTCACCGAAAATATTCTATATTTGCATGCACTGTCCATCTACTATTATCACCCAGAACAGTACCGGCATCCTTACCGGTTTTGCCCTGCAGAGCTCGCGCCAGGCGAACAGCACCGGTGTCCGTAATGCTATTTCCCCCGACGGCCAACCATGACAGTTTGGATGTACGGCAGCCGAGAGACAGGGCTTTGGCCAAGTGAGTAGCGCCCTCGTCAGATATCTTATTGCATCCCAACTGCACGCGGGCACACCCAACACATAGACAAGCAGAGCAGGGTAGATATTGACTTAAAGCACAGAACAAGGAGTACAACCACCTATATGCATGCATCACGTAGACTGCCATGTATCCAGCCTACAGGCATAACTGTTCTCTCACAGAGCAACTGTTCCGCATATGGGGCTAGTAGCCTAGAAATTACGCTCACGAAATCCAACCTGCGGCTTGTGAACTATACCTTTTTTCTACAAACAAATACAAACTTGCAGACGAATAATGCATATCCTAGAGAAGGCACTGCTATACTGTGGGTGATATGGGATGTCTGTTCCTTATCATTCACAGTAATATTCCACCTCAAATAATTATATGAAGTTTGATCTGGTTCGTACTACATGGCCAAAACCTGAAAGCTTGAGAACTCTTCTCATCCAGACTGAACCTGTACTATTCGCAAAGACTTACACCAAGCCACTGCAGTGTGCTGTTAGTTGATATTCCCTCGGCCAGTCCTTCAGCACCCCTAGCGCCGATGCGGTTCTTCCAGAGAGATACGCCCTGCAAGACGCGATTGCGCTGCAGAGCCTGCCCAATGCTCACTGCTCCAGTGTTACCAATGACATTCTGACTGCAGAACATACACAAGAAGATCACATGCAAACTGATTGAAAGAGAGAAATACACGTGCTACATGTGTACACATTTTATTCATGTACTTTGACATCCGATGATGTCATCCAGAATATCTCATTACTCAGCCATTGCTTGTCAAAACAACTTGGATGTGTGTTTACCTGGACACAACAGAATGTCATGTGAGTTTATTTGGTGGACCCCTAGCAGAATCTTGTGAACTCTTGGGAGCAGGGGGGGGGGGGGTATTCTTGCTACCACAGTACTTGTAGGAGGACAGGGCAAGGTACTGTAGCACTGGTTGAAGTAAGGCATGCCATCAGACTACGAGTGTGTGCAGTGGAAAGTTGGCTTGAGGTACAATTGTACAGCAAAAGGGATAATCTATAAGGCAATAAATTCAAAGTCACAACAGCTATTACATACACATTACAAAAGGGCTTGAAAGGGCTATGTCACTGCCAGGCCAGAGTCATGACAACATGCCAACTCTTGTATGGGAGGTTTCCTTCACAACATAGTGACATACCTGCTGCTAGTGACTAGACGGGGTTTTCCTGGCCGTCGACTTACGGCTGGTACCAAAAATTTCACACCAACACATGCAATATGAGGGAGCTACCCAACAGATACAGTGTACTTTGCTATTTTTTCGGAGTGCGTCCATTTTGGCCCAGAAGTCGTTATTTGTTGACTCATGATACCATCACTTTCAAGCCCTACTGATTGCGGAGATCTTAGCTAGCCCCTTGCCACATGGACTCACTCTAGTTCCAATGTGACGAGCGATGGTGATACTGTAGCTGCCTCCGCTATGCACGTGGCTCCCTCGTCACCGATACTGCAGCAGCTCACGTTGACATGCCGCAGAGAACTGCTCGTGCGCACCACCTGCATGGTCACCGCAGACATGTAGAATACGTTGCATACATTATTCAAAGACTCAGGGTTGGATTGGAAGAATGGTCCATATACTGGATTGTGCTGGAATAGCTTAAGTCTACACCCGCGACCTTGCGGCAGATGATAATGGAATATGTTTTCACATCTAACTAACATACGGCTGTGGAGAGTAAGCAATGATTATATACATGTACAGCATCGCTTATCTTGTGTCTAGGCCCTATGCTGGACACAACAGTACTATCCTCGCAAAGTACTGGAATTTCCACCAAGTCAATCCTGTATGAATCTGCTTGCCAAGGCCAGTAACGGAGAAAAACACTTCTAAAAATGGCACTATAGCAGCTCTTACCTCAGCAAGACATTCAGCTCCGTGATTTCCCAGAGGATTGCCTACTTTGGGCATCTTTCGTGTGCACTGCAGAAAACAAAACATTAGATAGATGGCATGTATTACCTGCTTCACCCGTTTTGTCTGACTGTGTGCATATCTGTTCGTTAGTCCATGTGCCTATTTGTCCATTTGGCCATCGGTTTCATTCTAGTAAGATCATCTTCAAACTAAACTCAAGAGACAACAAATGGTTGCAACTTACAATCGAGCTTGGCTTTCCACTGAAGTGGATATTATATTGAAGTAATATGACACACTTAAAAATGAGGGTGCGAGTTCAGCCTAGGGGAATACGGTAGCACTGTGACAAGCTGTACACAAGCTTTAACAGGACAGTAGAGATTGAAGCATACATTGTACACTCACTAGCTCTATCCTGCGTATGACATGCACCAGCGGCGGACCATGCACCGTGGGCTTGAGGTCGCGCATCACGTCCCGTATCGAGCGCAGACCGGCGTACGTGATCTCGCAGCCGCCGAGGCGCAGCCGCTGCACGCTGGAGTTGTTTCGCAGCGCGTAGCTCAGATTCACCGCTCCCCGGTCGCCCACCCTGCATGACTCAATGTTGATCTCAGCCGGGTGGTTCTCCACCTGGCTATCCTTCAGCTGGGTGATGATCTTTTCAAGCTTCTGTTTAGCCTTCAGCGCACTCCCTGCAGACCAACAACACCCCAGTGGGAAGTAGGTGTAGCATTCTTTTATTTTCCATCGGAAGCCTCAACAGTGATGAACACAACTCTTAAGAGGGCCGATAACAGAGTAGAGGGGTGTGGATTGAAAAAAATAATAATAAAAAAGAGCACTCTCAATAGGACGCACTTGCGCTGCTTAGCTTTGTACTTTGCCCGCTACTTCTGGTAGTTTGAGCACTCTCAGCGCTAGTACATCGAGCTGTCCTAATGTCTGTGGTTCTCGTAGCCATGGCTGACAGTTCAATCCTATTTTAAGCTCGGAGTTGCACTGATGAGGCCTCATTGGCCGAAACAGTCTGGCTGTCTGCATCATTGAGTAATAAAAAAAGTCAAGATGTGTGAGGGATTAATGGGGAAGTACGGCAATATCCCGCCAGAGCGCCCCATCTCTCCCATCCGCCTCTCCCTGACTTCTTGTCAGGGAAGTGATTGATTGTATCCTCGTATGACTCTGTGATGACGTACTGTACTGCAAACGCGTGCTCGACCCCGTTGGAAATGTATGCAACAGTGCCCACCCTCTTGACCAGGGCTCGCACAAACCCCGGGTTTTGATTCGTCTGTACGACTCCTGGCTCTTGAGGCTTTCGTCGGTGTAAGAGATGCACGGACAGTTTTGGTAGGGTGAGTATTTTTTCATGTAGTACTGAACGCGGTAAGTAGGACTTGCCCATCCGCCCCTCCCTACCTGGACCTACTCGAAGGGTGGCGGAGGTAGGGGCGCTCTGGCGCGATTTTAGGGTATGTGTACAAATGCACAGGCCCTGTGGACCCGGTCTGGCTGGACAGGCCATGGCTGGACTAACCTTTTGATCACCAATGTGTGTTTACTGCTGGTTAGGTCATGTGACTACCCTACATATCATACACAAACTGTATGAAAGTCATGTGACTACCCTCCATATCATACACAAACTGTATGACAGGCTAGGGTGGGGCCGGACCAATCAATAACTCCTTCCGCCAGTCATGATGTACTGTGAGGATTTAGGAAACCATTATGCTCTTGAAGCAACCATTCTCTGTATTGGACAGTTGGTCATTGACTCCAGGCAAGTGTGTAGGAGTGCTATGCATACGAAAGGGTTTGTGGGGAACCTCCTCTGGTCTGCCTGCCACATAGTGCTGCTGCAGTACATAGCTTGATTCCCTCAAACTGTGTAGAAAGATGTATCTCAAATGTATTTCTTGTCCTATTTACATTTCAAGACAAGGAGACCATCGGCATGATAGCCAAAGTAATGTTTGATCAACGCACCTGCGTTATCCTCGGCTCGTTCCTTGGCTCGTCGTGACCGGCCGCCAGCACTGTGTGGTCTCTGTGCTTGTACATCCCCTCGTCTCCCGGGTGTTATTGGTCGACCTCCGGCGCTAGCGCTCTGGCCAGCGCTCGTGTCCCACGCGCTGCTTATCTCCGACACATTGCTGCTGCTGGTTTGCTGCGCATGCTGGCGAGCTTGCCTCTGCTGCCGTCGCCGATTGGCGACGGCCTGTTTGCTTCCGTCCGCACTCATTGATAAAGTTGTTGGCCAGTTGCGCCTGGGCCGCTATCCCGGACGCCAGAAACAGCACGGCTCGGCGAAATGCTAGAACCTCTCTTCCTTGAGACCCATTGAGCACCCGGTAAACTGGCTTTTTTGTTTTCAAATAATCAGCATCCCTTTCTGGAGAAAATATTTCCTTCAGGCTGTCATTGAGCCGCGATGTTAGTTCAGGTTGGAACTGTTCAACGCCTCCCTACAAGTACAACCAACACAACACCCGGCCGTGATCTAGATTGCATACATTTGAGACCTACACATGTAGATCCACCCTGTGTAGATCTACTGACTGGATCCCGAGCTGCCTTGCCCTTGGTGGTCCGGCCGGGTGGACCTAGCGCTCAGTCACCTCACGCTAGAAACTACGTCATCGTCCTGTAGACGATCTACTCCCAAACCGCCGAAGCGTCGCCTCCCCATCCCATTCGCTACCTTCTTGCTGAGCATTGTGGTATGTTCCTCTTCAAGTTTTGCTCCTCCCGCTTCTTCTTGCTATAGTGTCGGCTCACAAACATGCAGCTACATGTATGTCCATATTACTATCATTATTATTATTAGGACGAGCTGAAGCGACATGTGGACTACTTTATTAACAATGTAAGCGCTGGAGACGATGCAAGAAACAACCTAAAGGGTAAGGAAGAATACATGTAAGAAGAAAAAGGGCGATGGAAAAAAAAAGATGATTCGAACAAGTTTTCGTACAACACTCTTCAGGAATCACCGTTGTACTAAAGAACAAAATGAAAACAAAGGAAATAATATAGCAATCAAGGTAGGGTGACACGATACAATGACAGCACTGGAATATCGAGGTGCGATTTCTCACAAAAGTGTGCAGAAAACAAGGGTATACAAGTAAGAACTAAGCGTGACAAGTGTGTATCAGCAACAAAAACAAAAAAGTGAGAACGAATGATAATAATAACACTAATAAACAAGAAGGTGACAAAACACATTTAGGCACAAGTGGCAACAACGTTGCCACACTACCAGACCACGGAGATCTACAGCAGATTACAACCGGACCTATGAATTCACGGTAAAAATACAAAAGAAACAATCGGAAAGGACGACGACTGACGTGAAGGCAACGGCATTCACGGTTGGCGTGGGTGGTGAAGGTGAGACGCAGGACGATGCACGTGAGGAGGAGAGTCAAACCGCGGTGGATGACGGAGCAGGTTTTGATTCGGACAGTGGGGGAGAAGGTGAGCTGAGTGAGGGTGAGAGTGAGTGTGAGGGTGTGCGCGTGAGTCGAGATTGTGTGCGTCCGTCTCGTAATAACAAGTCTTCAGTATACAATCATTTGGTTTCTAGCACTGACTGTTGTCGTACTTATTCTGATTCCTGTTTTTCTGTTTTGTGCCGTGCTCGTCATGGTTATCTTTTGCAGTTACAAGTTTTGGAAGCTGTTTGTCAGCGCATTCATAAGCCGAATTTGTGTGTCCAGAAAGATAGTGTTATTACCCTAAAATTGTTCAAATAATGTTCTGTTGTGTAGTGTGGCAACGTTGTTGCCACTTGTGCCTAAATGTGTTTTGTCACCTTCTTGTTTATTAGTGTTATTATTATCATTCGTTCTCACTTTTTTGTTTTTGTTGCTGATACACACTTGTCACGCTTAGTTCTTACTTGTATACCCTTGTTTTCTGCACACTTTTGTGAGAAATCGCACCTCGATATTCCAGTGCTGTCATTGTATCGTGTCACCCTACCTTGATTGCTATATTATTTCCTTTGTTTTCATTTTGTTCTTTAGTACAACGGTGATTCCTGAAGAGTGTTGTACGAAAACTTGTTCGAATCATCTTTTTTTTTCCATCGCCCTTTTTCTTCTTACATGTATTCTTCCTTACCCTTTAGGTTGTTTCTTGCATCGTCTCCAGCGCTTACATTGTTAATAAAGTAGTCCACATGTCGCTTCAGCTCGTCCTACTTATTGCCATATTGAAATTATTGTCTCCTCGTCGAATTTTTAAATTATTATTATTATTATTATTTAAAATCTTGTAGGACGCATCACGCAGCTTCATAAGTAAAAAATTGGTTGTGAGCAACACTGGCTCACACTCAAATAACTGCTTTTCACCAGAAAAATACTATATTTCAACGTTGCACTAGTGCACTGTTACTACTACTGTTGTTGCTAGCGCCTGCAATTACATGTCTGCACGCACCTAGTGCACATGTACATTCTGTTTGTTGCTTGTACCTGTGCCATATTTAGAGTTGTCGCGTATTGCGTTATTTCTATACCTGGTTTTTTTGTTTTTTGTTTTTTTTTTGGTGATGTTTTGTCCTTTTGTTCTCTCTCTCGTCATAGTGCATGCAGGTGTGATTTGTTATCAGTTCGCAGCGCTCCTCATATATTAACCCATCCTAACCGGTGTGCCCACTTCATTCCTGATGATGGTTATTTCATGACCGAAACGTTGAAATATAGTATTTTTCTGGTGAAAAGCAGTTATTTGAGTGTGAGCCAGTGTTGCTCACAACCAATTTTTTAATTATTATTATTATTATTTAAAGAGTCGGCGTGGAGAAAGCAATTTTATTAGTGCAATTAGGAGTATAATCGATGCAGACATGGCCAGACAACAACGAGTTCATGGAATTTTTAAGGATTTTTATGTTATTCAAAATCGATTTTTGTGTTCCGCTCATCAGTGAATAGTATCGGAACTGAGGGTACTGTGTACAAAAAATAGAACATTTATAACAGCATAATTAATTAAAAGTGTGAACAACAAAGGAAGTGCTACAGCATTACATAATAGGTGTCAAACATAGTGCTAACGTATATAACTTGTGGCTGCACTCAGTTATATACGTTAGCACTATGTTTGACACCTATTATGTAATGCTGTAGCACTTCCTTTGTTGTTCACACTTTTAATTAATTATGCTGTTATAAATGTTCTATTTTTTGTACACAGTACCCTCAGTTCCGATACTATTCACTGATGAGCGGAACACAAAAATCGATTTTGAATAACATAAAAATCCTTAAAAATTCCATGAACTCGTTGTTGTCTGGCCATGTCTGCATCGATTATACTCCTAATTGCACTAATATTATTATTATTATTATTATTATTTTTTTTATGGTGCAAGCCTCTTTTACGGGCAAAAATTAACACAATGTATTAAAATGCAATACAACATACACTGGAGAAGAAATCAGGAAAATAAAATATGAGCTCAAAAATGGAACGAAAAATAGCAAATAGAATCAAAACTCACGATGGAATCAAACTCATGATGGAAACTACAACCCAATGAGTTGGAAAACCAACCACAGAATTAGATATTGGGAATAGAGTCAGACACAACAACGACCGAAATCAGTACACCAAAAATCTGTCCTACAAAAAACAAAGGAACAAGGAAAACAAGAAAGACGAAGTACAAAGAATCCCCAAAAAAGAGGGGAGAACGTGATGAAAGAGGACCGGAGATCGGCAAACCCCAGGAGGACTTAGCGTCACGTAGTGGCGGGAATGCGGGCCTCCACAGAAACAGCATCCACATCCGCCGCCAGACCAGGTGCACGGAATGCACGGCGACTCCCACGAACCATTATTATTATTATTATTATTATTTCCCCTTTATTCACTTCTTTCGAAGGCGATAAGCCAGACCCACCGGGAAATATTTCCATGGGTGGGACAGCAAAAAGAAAGTGAAAAAACAAAAACAAAAATAAATAAATAAATAAAACCTAAAAACCAAAGGGACAAGAACTAGTTGAAGGAAGAGGAAGAAAGGAAAGAAACTCAATCCGAACTCCAACATCAAAACAATAATAAAGAATTTGCAGCGACAGGCAAAAATACATCAACCAATGAAGGGAGTAGTAACAAAGGAAATATCAGTCTTTATCAGTCGTTATTCAAGTCTCTTAGCTATTGAACATGCAAACGCAGCAGAGGTGCATCTACATGTTAAGGATAGTTCTCAGTATTTTAATCGAACCTTGTATAGCCTCCTGTTGCACAATAGCCAGGTCTCCTCCCTGCACAGTCCGAAGGCATTGAGGAGTCTCCCCCACCAAGCCTCCCAGGGCACCGACAACCACAGGGACCACGTCAACCTGGTTGAGGGACCAAATCCTCGAAATCTCCCGCTTCAAATCATAATATTTCGAGCGCTTTTCAGCCATTTTCTTATTGATGTTGTTCTCACCAGGAACGCTGATGTCTATAATGTAGGCGATGCGCTCCTTGTCATCAACAAGGAGCAGATCGGGCCTGTTTGCTGACAGTTTCAGGTCAGTTGGGACCGAATACTCCCAATAGAGGCGATACTGATTACTCTTGACCAATGCCTTGAGCTGGTGGTCGAATCGTGAAGCACCAGTAGGTAGACCTCGTGCTTTACACATTTCGAAGTGCACATACTTTACTATCCGGTTATGTCGTTCAATGTAACTGGTCCGAGCAAGAACTGGGCAGGCACTGACAATGTGGTCAATTGTTTCTAAGCTGCCCTTGCAAAGCCTGCAATTGGCATCAGTTCGAGGAATTGACTTCATTATGGCGTATTGGTAATTTTTCGTTTTGAGGGATTGGTCTTGTGCTGCCATAATCATGCCTTCAGTTGAAGGTTTCAGTGTCCTTGATTTCAACCACATGAAGGTAAGCTCCTTATCTAGGCGATTCTCCTCCAATCGGCTCCAATATCTCCCATGCAGCGGCATAGTGGAAAGTGTTTTGGATTTTCGCTCAGCGCACGCTTGTTTAATGGTATGCTTATTGGGTAAAGCTGGTCCAGCTGCTGGCAGATCCAAACTCGACAGGAACTTAGCGGCCTTTGCAGTTATTGAGTGGCTTTTTGTTGTAGGTTTTTGTTGATGATACTGATAAAGCAGGCTTATTCTGTCTATTGGGCTGGTACTCATGTAGCGGGCCAGGCCACACATGCTCCGGCCATGCATATCCTCACAAGAGACCAAGCCCCGGCCTCCATCTCCCCTCTTCATGTAGAGCCTGTTGACTGAGGCTTTGGGGTGGTGAAATCCAGACGCAGTCAAGGCTGATCTTGTCACTCGATCTGTGGTCTTGATTTCAGCCTCGGTCCAATTTACGATTCCATAACTATATGTCATAACCGGCAGAGCATACGTATTGATGGCCTTGATCATGTTTCGCGCATTCAATCCACTGTTA